GAAAATAAATCACACTCCATAATTATGTTGACAATAGGCTATTCTGCTTGAATTAGAGTTATAATTTTAAATGAAATAATTTAGACTAACAATATAAATTGTCCGTCCGGCCGGCTTATCTGGGATCGGGTCGCGGGGGCAGCAGCAGAGAGACCCAGACTTCCCTCTCCCCAGCGACACCTTCCAGCTYGTCCTGGGGGACTCTGAGACGGTCAGACCAGAGGAGGTATATAATCCCTCCAGCGAGTCCTGGATTTTCTCCAAAGTGCCAGACTTATTTTGAAAACATTTTAAAATGCTTATTTCAGAACCACAACTGAGACCACCTGCAACCGCTCGCGCGTGGGGTGGTGTTGTACGGTGCACAGCGCTGTGGCTTCTGAATAAATGAAAATGATTTAACACAGTTGTTTATACTTTTAGCAGCTCTTTTTATTCCACAGCTGACCTGCTAAAMATGWCAGATTTTCTTTTCTGGATCTCTGACAGACGGACTTCAATCTCTGAACTCGTAAAGTTCTTCTTTTTAGTTTTCGCTGTCATTTTAATGAATGAATGGACACTTCCTTGTATCTGAGGTAGGAAACATAGCCTTATATGGTGTTTTTGGGGGGTAATTATGCTAATCTCCTCTCCGCGTGCACAAGCAGCTGGATACGAACAGGTGTAATTTACGCAGCTCATTTACAGACTTTTCCTGAAGATAGAAGAGTTTGTTRAATCTGACGTGACATGTTCGTACGAACCCTTTGTACGAACAAAAGTAAGAGAAATTTAGGATAAGAATACGAACATGTTCTTGCATGTGGCCCATTGTTATGACATCCAAACAAATCAATGTAATATTGAAAACGTACTTATTTGTCATCCATGCATGTTCCTATACAATGGTGAAATGTGTGCATTTGACCCATCACACCTGAGAAAGACCCACGTGGAGCAGCAGTTATTTAAGCACCCGGGGTGCAGTTGGGGGTAAGTCGTCTTTCTCAAGGTCACCATATTATTTGTACATGGTGGAGAATCAAACCTGTGACTTTCTAGACCCAAGTCAGCTGCCCTACCACTGCACCACCATCTGCTCAACATACAACAGCACTGGTGGTTTACACCCCAGTGACAACTAGTCCACATTAGCAAACACAAAAAGGCGGCTATAACACAGCCACCTTTACAGCTGTTGAACTAAAATGTGATTTGGTAGAACAGTCATTCACAACACATAGCATGGTAACTTGCGATTGAACCTGACAATATTTTAAAGGTTACGATGTGATTAGTCCAAAACTGTAGCATGAAAGTCAGTGAGTGATATGAATTCCTTCAAGTAGCTTAAAGCTAGTTTTTCCAATATATACTGACTTCCAATAAAATTGTGCTCGTAAGATGAGAATATCTATGAGCAAATTGCAGACAAGGGAAATGTATTTGAAAAGTAAAATGTGCATCTACTGTATGTCCAATCTTTAAAAATTCACATGCAGCAAAAAAAATTGGGACAAATTTAGGTCAAAAGTCTCACTTAGCTTCCTAAAATCAGTTGCAAAGAAAACACCATAAAAGACAGAGAGCTGTAGTGCTGTTGTATTTTGATCAAATGTAAATATGTTAAGAAAACTGTGTAAACAWGAAAAATTGGTGTATTGTTTCTTGTAAAATCCAAAATGGTATTTGCTCATGCAAACATTACATCCATCGGAGTGTCATACATGAAATGACATTAAGAAAATATGCTGTGTCTAATTATAATCCAGGAGGCAATCCAACTCACTATTAAAATATACCTTAATTTACAGCTCACAAAGCTTTTCCAGATTTTGCAACCTGAAAAACATTCTCTTTTGGCACATTAGCTAGTTTGCTATAAAACACCCCATTTTACTATACATATGGGATGTGTGTTTTCTTCTTATAAAAATCGGGTGATATTTAGTCTAAATACAAGAAATCCCCATGACTGAGTTTAGCTGTATTTGTTACAACACACAAAGTTTCCAAACTCATCAGTTATACTGAATAAGTTCTAAACCATCAGTAATATTTACACTAGTCTGATGATAACAATAAAAATTACTTGTATTTTCCATCCATAAAGCCCATTATTGTTCAGTATAGCCTTATAGCTGTGAATACTTTACAGAGACAATATGATGATGGGTTTACAGACCAGGGGTGTCCAATCCTGGTCCACAAGGGCCCTTTCTCCAGTATGTTTTACTTGTTATTCTCTGTGCCAACACAAATGATTTAAGGTATGTTTACATGCATAAAATTCTTTGATTGGATTGAAATATATTTGGATTAAATRTTCGGAATGTATAGTTTATACAGGTACAAAATTCATTATGCGTTTACATGCAGCAGGCTTTTATTCAGAATAGAAGCACTGAGAGTTGTAAACTTTACAACAAAAAAAAACACAGGACATAAACAAACATGTCTTCTGAGCGCACAGAATGGACCCACGCCAGGTTTTAATAATGCTGGAGACTAGAGATAGTACTGCACTGCATGTTCCAACGCTTTCCACCATCAAGTCGTTCGATAATTTTGATTTTGATCTATTGAAAGTTCCTAAAAGAAATACTGTATTGCTAACCAACCAATTTTGCTTCCCTGACATATTAGCATTTAGCTAGGAGGAAATACGTCAGGCTGATAGGGTGCATGAACAGTCAAGCCAGTTTTCCACAACCAGAATAACATGATCAGAAGAAGTATTTATGTTTCAGATTATCTATTGGCATAAACCACCCCTCTCTGTCAGTCTACAATTTCATTCGGAATGAGCTAAATCAGATCAGAATATTATGATTGGGTGTTTACATGATGCATTTTTATTCCAATTAACCATTTAAACCATTTACTTATGTCCATGTAAACACAGCTAGTAATTGGATTACTTCTTCAAGTTCTACAGAAGCCTGTTAATCACACATTCATTTAAATCAGCGTGTTGGAGCGGAGAAACCTCTAAAACATGCAGGATGGTGGCCCTTTATTTAATTCAGAAGGGGTACTCCCAGTTGAAGTCGAGCACTAAGCATGCTAGGACTAAAAGCCATCCAGAACCACGCTGAGGCAGTGTGACCTTTCTAGTTACATCACTCATGTAAACAAGACTATTTTCCAGTTTGAAAAGCAAGAACTAATCCAAAACTGCAACCGATGCCAAACGCTAGGCTAGTTTTTAAGTGAAAATCCTTGGAAATCCTTCGTTTCTTGAAGCAACCGAGCACTCATTTGGACGCGAAACAGGCTGGAGGTGCAGCTATAGGCGAGGAGTGTTTCAATGAGTCCTATAAATTTACGGCGCTCGCTTAAATGAAGTTCGTGGATGGGCGTGCGGGGTTTTCCTCCCGTGGTTTTATACTGAGATGTAACATTTGCTCTTCTGTTGTCTGCGTGAAGCAACCCCAAATC